TGAGTGTTATTATTTATGATTGTTGAATTATTGAAGTGTTGATATTGAGAATACTTTAGGCATTTAGGTACAATAAATTTATGATTGTTAAATTGTTGAGGTGTTAATGCTGAGAATGCTTAGGACATTTAGGCATGATGTGACACCCTCTACCCCAACATATATATACAATAATTATAAAAATAAAATTCTTTATCATTAAAATCCAAATCTCTAACCACATAAGGGTAAAAAGTTCACATTCATAAACTTAATCCAAATAACATGTCAGTGAAATTACAGAGAAATAAAACTGAGTTTTCAAATAGTTTAATGGAAATAGCATCCTAAACTAAGCCTAACTATGCTCCAATGTCACATATCCTATCAGAGCTTGCCCAACTAAAGCCTAAGCTTCATCACTAACATCCTCATGCTGATGATCACCTGCAACACAAGTTAAACACATAGAAAGAACAACAAGGGAATAAGAAACATCTAACTCAGGTTCAGGTGTAGAAATAACAGTTAGGCAACACACACAAATCATACAAGCACAGTCATAGCTACTCATTAATCAGGTGCAAATTCAAATTTCACATATAACAGTAACACATACACAGTCATTCATCATGCAATAATGTCATGGACTCGACTCATAGATGCATGCATGCCAGTCACGTGTCTCATAATCATATATCACTGGTGTGCTGCCTAAACAACACACCTAGGGTAGTCTAGGAGTACATGTAAGGAGCTACCCGTACACTCTCAACTAGAAGGATGTACTGCTAGGGTCTGGTTAGGATAGCGAAGTTACGCAAGTTACATCTCGTGCTCACAAATGGGTGGAATCAAGACATCCAAACTGCACTATCCCCTAGGACTCCCCCAAGCTGTTACACAAGGAGGGCCTTCCCTAATGGTGTACTCCACATCGTACCCTTCACATAGATGTATATGATGCATGTCACACATTCACAAACTCATGGACTCATCACTTTACTTGTCATGGCATTTCATGTCTTATCTCTCATTTCATCACGTTTCACATTCTCATAGTCATAGTGCTCACAATAGCACGTCATTCACATCATGTCTCATGTCATTTGTTCATATTTCACATAATCTTACTCATAAGATTATCATTTGGAGATTATTATCATCATCATGTCATATTCACTTTTCACATTGCCTCATAATCATATTCATAATTGTTCCTCATAGGTTTCACACAGGAACCCACAAAACACTCTAATTCATATCAAAACCTGTTCAAACTCAAAATTAAATATACATTCATGCTCAACATTTAGCAAGGAACACAATAGAATACTCAGAATTCAAAACAGAAAACATCTAAAATTTGCCTATTTCTTATAGGATTTCCTGTAGGAACCCATAGAGCACTCTAATTCATATAAAAACATATTTATTCTTAAAATTAATCACATATTCAAACATCACATTCAACAAGGAACACAACAGAGCAATCAGAAAGAAAAATAAAAAATATTCATATTTTGCCTGTTCCTAGAAGCATGCATTAGGCAAAGGATTGAGGGCCAATTCTGCTACCCAACAATTATTCCCACACCCTCGAGCGAGGTTTCTCACCCCCCTTTACCTAGATACGCAGAAGACAAAGCTAGAGCGAAATCTAGTTGATCTCATTCTCTTGATTCTCCTTGGTCTTCAGAGGGTGTGTCCAAAAGTAGTGCGAGAGTCTGTTATTTATAGATGTCAAGAGTGGCCAGAACGACCCATTTCGGATTTGGAATAGCCTGTTCTAGATCCTTTCATCATGTGTAAAATTCACATCTGGAACGACTCGTTCTTAAACCAGAACGACCCGTTTTGGAGATGAGTTTTAACTCACAACGACCATGTTTGGAACGACCCGTTCCAATCTAGGGTTTATAGGTCTTTTTAGTAGTTTGGAACGGCTCGTTCCAGTTTGGGAACGACCCGTTCTGGACTACTAAATCACCCTTATAAAAATTATGAAAATTGGGGTGTTACACATGATATGTTGAATGACTATTGACCTGTTAAGGTGTTGATACTATGAATGCTATACGCATTTAGGCATGTTGATTGACTTAGAACTAGAGAAGAAAGTGTTTTTAAAAGTTGGATATCTCATTGTGTGGATATTGGTGTGGTACTCTATGAGTCTAGTTGTTGAAAAACCCTCCTTGAGTATATATTATCTCTTGTAGTGGATTGTTGAGTTTCCTCTAGATTCTTAGTTAATATTGGAGTAAGATATGAATTCGAGGGCTAAAATCTTTAACTGATTACTAGAGAAGTATGTGGTGTAGTGAGGATAGTTAGCGAGACTTGGTTAATGCATGTCAATGTCATGGTAAGCCCATACCCAATTATGTTATACTTGATGGTGGTACTGAACTTTCCTAGTCTAGGTGACGACATTCGAGAAATCATGTTGTAGGGATTGGTATTCCAATTGATTGTTGATTTAGCAAGTGTAAAAAGATTGGTTGGTTCGGTAGGGTCAAGATATTTAGACCGCTCCCTTGATTGTAGGAGATCTCCGTAAGGGAATGCGTAACGATGCAATAATTGAGGTATATGCATATGATGTACTATTTTTAGTGATTGTTCATATGTTATGTGGAGTTGTATGTAGGATAGCATGATTGTGGTGTAAGTTTGATATGCTTTAAATTTTTCTTTCAAACTTGTGTGATGTCATGTTGAGGTGTTTTGACATGGTGCTAAGTAGTAGACCATGATGTGATTTTGGTGTATGTTTCACCTGATGATGTTGTTAATAATATAGTTATGTTATTTTTATACTTGTTACATGATTTCTCCTTTATATTCTAGCTTATCCTTAAATATTTTTCTTGTGGTTGAACTATAATAATGATTATGTTTTCATCGAAGTAGGACATGGTCAAGCTTGAAGAGTCAAACATGTGGAGAGTCGTGTTACTAGATGGTGGTGTAATTAGAAACTACTTTTCTCGATTTTATTGAGTTGCTTAACTAATAACTTAGACTTGTATATTATAGTTTTGGATTATTATATATACATATATACTTGTATAATATATCAGTTGTTGTTGCAAAAAATTTATTGCATATATTTATATATTATCATTGTGTTTTTCATGAGCTATAATATGATCTTTAGGTAGTTTTTTTTTTCTTTTTCGCAACTAGTAGTTAAGTCGTTAAGTGTAGAGATTATAATGAATTATAACATTGGTAAATACTTTTGTTAATACCATGATATAAAAAAATGGTAATGACAACAAAAATCAATAAACTGCCATTTCATGCACAGATTAGTCTCTTGGACTCTCGATATAGAGAATACCTTGCTTTTTAGAAAAAAATATATATATATATATATATATATATAATTCTTTAGTATCTCAATTGTGGTTGTAGAACCTTGTTGAATATATGTATATATTAGATTGCACTTTATGGGAACTATAAATATGAACCTTATTAGGTAGTTGTTTTAGTTATTGATTTTGTTAAGTATAATGACCATAACAAGTCATTACATTTTTAGTTTAATCTCACGTAAAGTTTAAGATTCCTTTAAACAATATAATTTTTTAAATTAAATTATACATATATGTTAAAATATCATTTTTAAATTAATGAAAATATTTTATATAATATTAATATTTTTTTATTTTAGAATATATTATAAAATATTAATGAAAAATATTTTATATAATATTAATATTATTTATTTTAGAATATATTACAAAATATATTTGAATTACAGTTATATATATATATATTATAATTTATTATATAAAATATTAATATTGATGTATAAAGTGCATAAATAAGATTGACTTTGTTTTTAAATTTAGGTTTAAATAAATGATTCTATTGAAATTTGGATTGGGTTGAAACAAAAGATAAGTCTCATGAACATCCTAATAAAAAAATATTATATTTTTTGGGGGAGGAGGGGAGAGTTTCAAAACCCACTTTCGGTTTGACCGTTACCCAAACCAGTGTGGGCTGGGCTGTATCAAACAAAATAATAAATGCGACAGGGGACCAATTCTAGTATTACCCACAGTTTCACGTGTTTCCTTCAAAACCGACAAGAATGACCACGAGCTTGGACGTTACCTTGTGGAGTTGTGGTGCCATACAACAACTTTGGAATTCTTTTTGTTTTCTTTCTCTTCTATTTAACATCACATTGCTAATTAAAAAACAATAAAATTCTAAGGAGATCAACGGAAATCACTCTAACTAGTTGATTTGATTTGATTTTTTCAAATAAATTTAGTACTAAATATTTCTCGTGTGGGCAATATAGGGACAGTTATCTTAATTGAGTTTCACACGTGATACATAAAAGAGTTGGATTTAAATGTACTTTTTAGGTTATATTTCTTTCTTTCGTCCATACATAGGTTATATTTAAGGTTTATTTTGTTTAAAAGAGGTGCACTTTAGGAAATTATCAGTGCTAACGGATGCTTGTTGGTTCTTATCAGTACTTTGACCTTAAAATGAACCCAATCTTCTCGCCTTTTCACTTTTTGTTGAAAAAGATAATGGGTGGGATTGAATTTCTATCATATAGTCATGTTATATATGTTCTAACAGTAGATTGTTTTTCTTTTTGACAGATTAAGTGCCGAATCATGTTCTGTATACAGACATATTTTGAACCTTCCACTAGATGTAGTTCTTTAATTTCTTGATTCTTCAAATCAACAAACGTGTAAAACCATGATTACAGAAGCTCAAGTATGTAATAACAACATTCAACATTACTTTATAAAGCAATCAAATAAGTTTCCGCTGTTGTTTGCATATCCATATTGGATTCCTGGTAGTAGCTGATGTAAATGGGACAAAGTCCAAACTCCTTACGTACACATGAGATCGAGAGAGAACAAACTGGTCCTCTTCAAGTGTCTTTCAACTTTGAGGGTGCTATAATTAATTTTGTTCTATACATGCTGCATGTTAGAGGATGTGAGCAAAATTCATGTTGTCTGGCATAGGAAGAGAATATCAGAATAAAAATAAACAGTTGTATGAGTGGTCCTATTCCTATCTCAACACGCCTTATCCATCCTCTTCATAATTCCTAGCTTCAGCTGCTAAGAAAATCTCATTTCAACAACAAGGTCAAAGGAATAAAAATCTGATTATTGTTCTTGACAAATAATGCAACATGCCCAACACAGTGCCTTCTACACCAACCGATTCCTCCTCTACTAGCTTATTTGAGCTCCTCACTGAAATGAAGAAGCAAACCAATCCAGAATCACTCAACTTCCAAGCAAAATCTCCCTCCCAAATCTCCTCCGAATGCTGGTTCGACGATGCATGCATCTTGGACATGGATTACTTCGTTAAGACCCTTGCTGGCATCAAGGCCAAAGGTGTTCGTGCAGACCTTATTGGCTCCCTCATCACACACTATGCCTCCAAATGGCTCCCTGACCTCTCTGCAGGTAGAAATTATTAGATAGTGCTGAACCAGCAGGTTTTATAGTTCAAATTAATGTTTACATGACACATGTTCAAATAAATGTTACAATTTACAATCACTAGAAGATTAGTATATGTAGAAACTTTGATAGTTGTGAACCACCTAAACCTAATAATTTCTTCTGGACAGGTGACATGACTGGTAAGAGCCTGGCCCAGTTCGAGGAATCGCCGGAAAGCGTGACGGCGTCATGGATGAAGAAGAGGTTCTTCGTGGAAACCTTGGTGGGTGTTCTTCCCCCCGAGAAGGATGCCATTCCATGCAACTTCCTGCTAAGGCTTCTGAGAACGGCGAACATGGTTGGGGTTGATGGTTCCTACAGGCAAGAGCTTGAGAAACGTATTTCGTGGCAGTTGGACCAGGCTTCGTTGAAGGAGTTGGTGATTCCCTCGTTCAGCCACACTTGTGGGACACTCTTGGACGTTGAGCTGGTGATTAGGGTGGTGAAGAGGTTTGTGAGTTTGGACAGCGAGGGAGCTAAGAGCGTTGCTTCTTTGGTTAAGGTGGCCAAGTTGGTCGATTCCTACCTCGCTGAGGCAGCTATGGATGCCAATTTGAGCTTGAACGACTTCGTTACCCTTGCCGCAGCTCTTCCAAGCCATGGAAGAACAACGGATGATGGGTTGTACAGAGCCATTGATACGTATCTAAAAGTATGTCTCGTTCAAATTGGTTGATTAACTAGTAGTAGTTTCCGTACTCTAATTGAATTGAAGAAGAAAAAGATAATTAAATATGCAGTTGATTAATTACAGGCACATCCAGGTGTGTCGAAGCAAGAGAGGAAGGGACTGTGCAGGCTAATCGACAGCAGAAAACTAACAGCAGAGGCATCACTCCACGCAGCACAAAACGAACGGTTCCCGGTGAGAGCAGTGATTCAGGTGCTTCTCTCGGAGCACAGCAAACTGAACCGGCACGTGGACTGGAGCGGCTCTTTGGTGAGCGGAGCGAGAAGCCCCGGAGGGTTGGACCTGCCGGCGCGGTGCCTGTCGAAGCGCGAGGTGAGCGCTCAGCAAGTGGAGATAAGGAAGCTGAAGGATGACGTGTACAGGCTTCAGATCCAGTGCAACGCCATGCAGGCGCAGATGGAGAGGATGGTGGTGGAGAAGAAGAAGGGCTTCTTCAAGTGGAAGAAGTTCGCCTTTCCCATCAAAGCCGCCGACAGAATGGACCTCGAACTCGAGGGGAACGTCAGGTGCACGCCTGTGGACATGAAGACAAGGTTGGTTAATGTCAAAGGTGGTGGCAGAACTGCTCACTCTCACACTCACACTCACACTCACAAGTGGAGGAAGTCCATGTCTTGATCAATCCACAACACGTTTATCATTATCATCATATTCACCAAATTAATTTACTTTCTCTCTATGTTCTTTTATTGCTCTATCAAATAATCCAGGATATATCAACTTTTGTATTTCGAATAATAAACTCAATAATTTCTTTCACCTATCATTACACTCAGTTGCATCGTTTTTTTTATTCTTTCTATTTTTATTTTATGAAGGGAGATTTAAAATAAAAATATGTACTTGTTCGCGTTATAATCTGTATATAAGGCCGTTTTTGTCGATAATTATTTTTAAGATTATTGAAAAGTATAATATTCAATATTTATTAACTTCTAATTATTCTTGGAAATGGTTAACAAAACTAGTTCGATAATAGTAAACTACTTGCTATTACTCTTTATGATTTTACACACTTTCCACTTATAGTTTTGTTAAAACTATAGATTAATTAGTTTATCATATGCGCGAGAAATAAACAATGTGATAAAAACACGTGTTTTCTAGCAAAGGTGTTAGGTAAACAAAACAAACATAATCCTAGATTCTTTCTGAAAAAACAAAACGAATATATTATTAAATTAAGATAACATGTTCGGATAAAATGGTGGTTATCGTTGGCAGAAGGTAATACTATTTACTCTGCTCTACTCTCCAATTTGACACTGTCGTGTTTCTTTGAATTTGCTTTAAACCGATAAACCCACTTTTCATTTTATTGTTCTGTAACTCCAAATGGCGGCGTTTGCTAAACCCTCCCATCTTCATGCTCAAAGGCACAATCATGAACCGGATAGGTGTTGGACTCCCATGTCAGAAATTTCAACTAGGTAAAATTGACAGACAATGTACTAACATTGGAACATAGATGGAATCGGAGGACAAGACCTTATCGATTACAACTTTGAAAGAGAATGTTAATTTATTTGCGTGATCAGCATACGACATGTCAAACATTGATTCATCTTTCCATTGTCACCACTTGTCCATTTGTCATGAAACTCGACCAATAGCTCAAAAGAAAAGAAAAATGGGTGAAGAGAAAAGAACAGCAGTAAGAATGAGGTATCCAAAATGTTGAAAGCAAAGTTCATCGGGGTCCTATCTATATACTACTTGGGTAGACAACAAGATCTACCCCTCTTTCTTTACTTGTCTATATCAGACAAGTCTATAAGTGTTGTCATTGCCCAAGAAAGAGAAGGGGGGCAAGTCCATATCTACTACATTAGCTAAGTTTATAGGGTGTTGAGCAAAAGTATTAGAAGGTGGAAATTTTAGCTTTAGCTTTGGTTACAACTAGAAAATTAAGGCCCTGTTATTAAGTCATCAAGTAATTGTCAAGATTGACTACCCTATTACCAAGATTCTCAAAAAACCAGAGCTAGTTGGTAGAATGATTACTTGGTCTGTTGAGTTGTCGGAGTTTTGTTTGGTTTATCAATCAAGAGGTCCTATACAAGCATAATGCTTAGCATATTTCATCAATGAGATGGTCGCTAAACCCCAACAAAGCCATACATGGATTCTATATGTTGATGGTTTGTTAAGAAAAAAGGGTAGTGGGGTCGAAGTTATTTTGGAGGGACCAGGAGGCTAGTAGTTGAACAATCACTTCAATTCAATTTTCAAACTTCCAAAAATCATGTGAAACATGAAGCCCTCATAGCAAAAATGGAATTGGCTTTGGAAATGGGTTCTGAACATTTGTTATATAAAAGTGACTCCCAACTGGTGGTTGAACTGTTGAAGGGTGAGTACCAAACAAAAGATGCTCGGAGTATAAAATACTACCATGTGGTCTGGCAGTTGAAGGGGAACTTCTTAGACTTCCAAATCAAAAGCATATCAAGAGAAGAGAATGCAAGGGTTGATGTCCTTTCAAAGTTGGCCTGGTAAGCACTGTTAGATAATCTTAAATTTTAGAGATATCCGAGTTAGTTTATCTATTTTATTTGTTTCAGTTTAGATAAGATAGTTTTTTATAAGATTTGTTTTGATAAGATATTTTGTTATCTTATTGTTAATTTGGTACGTTGTACAATGACTATTTAAAGGTCATCTCTTATTCAATAAAAAATACAGTGAGTTGCTACGTTCACCCAATACTAGTATTACTCGTCTCTCTTAGTTTTTTCTACAAATTGGTATCAAAGCTATATGCTCTGAGTGCCGAGTGTGAGAGGAAAGCAGTGTGCGCCTGTGTGTGTTTTGAAAAAAAAAAAGGAAAGAGTAATGGCGAAGGTTGTTAATGGAATGACCGTACCACAACTGTCAAAGAAAATCAATTATGATAATTGGTGTTTACAGATGAAGACCCTGTTGGGTTCCCAAAGTCTATGGGATATAGTGGAGAAGGGGTTCCAAGAACCCGAGGAGGACGAAGACCAATCTGTGGCTCAGATTGCCGCATTGGAAAAGACACGAGTGAAGGACAAATCGGCTTTGTATTTTTTGTACAATGCCATGGATGAGTCAGGTTTCGAGAAGATTGCAAACGCTGCATCTTCAAAGGAAGCATGGAAGATCTTGGAGGTTGCGCACAGAGGTAACCACCGTGTCAGACAGATCCGACTTCAAACTCTCTGAGGAGAGTTTGAGTGTTTGAAGATGGAGGATAAGGAACAAGTATTCGAGTACATAACTCGGGTGGAGAAGTTGGCTAACCAACTCGGAAGGAATGGGGAGCCAATGCCAGCAAGTAGAATTGTGGAGAAAATCTTGAGATCATTAATAGATGATTTCGAGAGTATTGCATGCGTAATTGAGGAGTCAAAGGACTTGTCAATTCTCTCAGTGGAAGAACTCGCTGGGTCACTCGAAGCCCACGAACAAAGGAGGAGGAAGATGAAGGGTACTCTTGATCAAGCATTACAGGCGAAACTTGATTTGAATGAAACTTGGAACACCCAGGGCCGAAGATCAAGTGGACAAGGACGAGGTGATCAAGGACGAGGCAAAAGACGAGGTGATCAAGGACGAGGTAAAGGACGAGGTGATCATGGAGGTGGACAAGGACGAGGTGATCGTAGCCAAGGAAGTCAGCCAAGGTCGGAGGTGGAATGTTATAAGTGTGGCAAACTCGGCCACTACGCAAAGGAATGCAGATCGGCAAATTGCTACAATTGTGGCAAATACGGTCACATAGCAAAGTATTGCCGAGCTAAAAGCCGAAGTGAAGAGAAAGAGAAGAATATTCTCACAGAAGAAGAGGACGAGGAAGCAGGAATTTTGATGATGACGCAGAGCTCGGAGACCAAGCTACATCTGAGTTGTGCCTCCGAGGTTGAGCTGAACTTGAGTTGCATGGAGAAATCAGCAGTTGAGCTTCCAAGCTCAGATGAGAAGTCAGAAGCAGAGCTTGATTCGAGTTGCTTAAACAACTCAGTCTGGTATTTGGACACTAGAGCGAGCAATCATATGTGTGGAGAAGAGAGTTTTTTCAACGAACTCATCAAGGTGAAGGTTGAATTCGTGTCATTTGGGGATGATTCAAAGGTGGCGGTAAAAGGGCGTGAAACCATCAAGGTTATGCAGAAGGATGGACGAGTTGGAGAAATAAGGAATGTCTACGACGTTCCCGAGCTTAAGAATAACATCTTAAGCATGGGGCAGATGATGGAGAAAGGCAACTCGGTTCTGATGAAGGATCGGGTGCTTTATTTGAAGGACAAGTATGATCGTTTAATAGCCCGAGTGGAGATGAAAAAGAATCAGATGTATAAACTGGATCTGAACATCATTCAAAATAAATGCTTGAAGCTGGACGTGAAGGATGAAGCCATGATGTGGCATTTTCGTTTTGGGCATTTGAACTTTGGAGGTTTGGCCTAGCTATCAAGGAAGGAGTTGGTGCAAGGACTACGTGGTGTTGAGTTTGACAAGAAGTTTTGTGAAGCGTGTGTACTCGGAAAGCATACAAGAACAAGTTTTCCGAACTCGTCCGAGTACAAAGTAAAGGAGCAACTTGGCCTGATACACACTAACTTGTGTGGACCAATCTCTCCTGCATCCTTCAGTGGTAAGAAATATTTCATCTCTTTCATAGATGATTTCTCTCGAAAGACCTGGGTATATTTCTTGCAAGAAAAATCAAAGGCATTTGAAGCTTTTAAAAAGTTTAAAGTCATGGTGGAGAAAGAGACTAACAAGCAAATTAAAGCTTTGAGGTCGGACAGAGGTGGAGAATTCACATCGGCAGAGTTTATGGAATACTGTGAAGAGCAAGGTATAAAATGTTTTCTCACAGCTCCATATTCACCACAACAAAATGGAGTAGCTGAAAGAAAGAATCGGACTATTCTTGATATGGTCCGAGCTATGCTTAAAGGGAAGAATATGCCTGAGAAGTTTTGGGCAGAGGCAGTGTAGTGTGCTATATATATACAGAACATGTGCCCACATTCAAAATTGGATGATGTGACACCTCAGGAAGCATGGAGTGGACAAAAACCAAGTATACATCACTTCAAGATCTTCGGAAGCCTTGCTTACGGTCATGTTCCAGCTCAGCTCAGAATGAAGCTTGATGATAGGAGCAAGAAGTATATCTTGATCGGGTATGATGAAAAGGCAAAAGCGTACAAATTGTACAATCCTGTTACAGGCAAAATTCTGGTAAGTCGAGATGTCCAGGTAGATGAGGAAAGCGAGTGGAGCTGGAGTAACTCTAAAGAGACCTCGGGGAGCTCGAACTCTGAGAGGGAGAGCTCGGAGATAATAGGGAGAAGCTCGGATAGGACCAATGAGCATTCCGAGGAAGATGATGAACCTGAGCAGCTTAGAACTCGGAGCTTGCAAGACATCAACAACTCCACTGACGAGTTACATGTAGTATGTCTATTGACAGGAGCAGAAGACATAAAATTTGAAGAGGCGGTACTTGATGAGAGATGGAAGAAAGAAATGGATGAAGAGATCGGATCAACTGAGAAGAGTGAGATGGGAAGCAAAGCTGAGTTAGTTGAGGAGTTTAAAGAAGTGATGAAGAGGAAGTTTGAGATGACCGATTTGGGCATCATGAAGTATTTTCTGGGTTTCGAGGTGGATCAAAGAACAAAAGGTACTTTTGTGTCCCAGAAGAGGCATCGGCCACCGCGGCCCGGGGGTGCTGGACGTCGTGTGGCTCGCGGGGCCATGGTACGCGGAGGAGTATCGCGCTCTGGTGGAAGAGGCATCGAAATGAAAAAAAAAATTTAAGCTTATGGGGGAGTTTTGTTAGATAATCTTAAATTTTAGAGATATCCGAGTTAGTTTATCTGTTTTATTTGTTTCAGTTTAGATAAGATAGTTTTTGATAATATTTGTTTTGATAAGATATTTTGTTATCTTCTTGTTAATTTGGTACGTTGTACAATGGTTATTTAAAGGTCATCTCTTATTCAATAAAAAATATAGTGAGTTGCTACGTTCACTCAATACTAGTATTACTCGTCTCTCTTAGTTTTTTCTACAAGCACTTGGTGATCCAACCAACACAAAATCATAGTGCAACAAACTTTGAAAGAGCTTAGCATATTCACTAAAGAGTGCATGCAAATTGAATGGAAGGAGAACTAGATGGCCCCTATCCTAAATTATCTAAAGAATGATGTTGTACCCAAAGACCTTTGGCCGCCAAAAAACTTAGCGTTCAAGCAATCAACTTCTACATCACTGGGAATGAATTCTTTAAAAGAGGGTTCTCGAAACCACTATTAAGGTGCATCACCAAAGCATAAGTTATGTATGTTGGAAGAATTGCACCGAGGAGTCTACGGCATGCACCCTAGGGGAAGGACTATGGCAACCCAAGTATTAAGGGTCAACTATTACTTGCCGACCATTTAGTAAAACTCAACTAAATATGTTCCAAGTCCTCGTAGTCGTTCACTATGTGGGATATTGACATTTTGGGTCAATTTCCTCATGTCAAGGCTTAATGCAAGTTTTTTTTGTTAATAGCAATTTATTACTTTACCAAGTTGATAGAGGTAGAATCGCTTGCTCAGATTATAACAAAGAATGTGTAACACTTCATTTAAGAGAATCTTATTTGTCATTTTAGAATTTACAAGACCATTGTGACCAACAATGATAGGTAGTTTATGAATAGAAAGCTTGATGAGTTCTTTTAACAACTCCATTTACAATATTGAGTTTCTTCCATTGTGTATCTTCAAAAAAATAATTAAGTTAAGACTGTTAACAAAGTCATAATGGGTGAATTGAAAAAGAGACTAAGAAAAACGAAAGACAAATGGGTCAAAGGGTTGTTAAAAATTTCATGAGCCTATCAATACACCCCAGACTCTACTACTTAAAACGTAACCTTTCAACTAATTTATGGAGAATCATACACCAACTTATATAATATTTTTGTTTAATGTTATTTTAATTATTTTGTTGTTCGGTCTCATTCTGTTTTTGCATGTTATATATACTTTTTTATTTTATAATTTATAACACGCATAAACAAAATGAAACCTAACAATAAAATAATAAAAATAATATTAAACATACAATAAGCAAAAATATTATATATGGTGATACACTCAATCACAAAACTAAAAATTAAAAAACATATTTATCTCTAACGATACTTGAACAAAAAAAAAATTAAGTCCTTAACCTTGTAATGACACTTAATTAATAAAAAATATATATATAATGAGTTTTCCATCTCTTGCAATGACATTTAAATAAAATAAAAAAAAATTAAGTCCTCCAATCTCTACAACAACACTTAATTAATAAGAAAAATAAAAAAAAATGAGTTTCCAACCCCCGACACGTAAAAAAAAAAATTAAACTTCCATAAAGTATAGCGATACTACGGCAAAAAGAAAAGAAAAGAAAAATTATCGTCTGATGAGAATAATGACACTTCAAACAAAACATCTAAACTCGATTCCAATTTTAAATTACATTCAAACAATTGTTTAAAAGAAAATATGTGACAAAGGATGATCCTATGTTAACCAACAACACCCTATTAATTATCCCACTTTTATAAATAATTTGTAAACAACTCTATTTAAATAATAAATAAAAGCCGTAATTTTTTCTATAGCAAACAAACATGTTGCCATGTTGGGATATTATGAGGTAAACAAAAAAAACAGAAGCCTAGATTCTGTCTATAAAACAAACGAAGATATTATTAAATTAAGATAACATGTTCGGATAAGATGGTGGTTATCGTTGGCAGAAGGTAATATTTACTCTGCTCTACTCACTAATTTGACACTGTCGTGTTCCTTTGAATTTGCCTTTAACCGATAAACCCTCTTTTCATGTTATTGTTCTGCAACTCCAAATGGCGGCTTTTGCTAAACCCTCCCATCTTCACGCTCAAAGGGACAATCCCATTCTTCCTTCTAGAACCACTTCCACCAACTTCAATTTCAAAACTTTCACTTTCTTCCATAACTTGCTCACACTCAGAAAAGTTAAACATGTTTGTGTCTCAAGTTCTGCCACTACCACCACCTCTCTCAGCAACAATCCCAACTCCGATATTTGCAAGTTTTGCCTCCTTGGGAACTTGGACCGTGCCATGAGCTACTTGGACTCCATGCACGAGCTTCGAATTCCCGTTGAAGATGATGCTTACGTTGCTTTGATACGGCTATGTGAGTGGAAGAGAGCAAGGAAAGAAGGGTCTCGTGTTTTCTCCCATGTTTCCATGTCCATGACTTGTTTGAGCACTCAACTGGGGAACGCGCTTTTGAGCATGTTTGTGAGGTTTGGGAACTTGGTGGATGCCTGGTACGTGTTTGGGAGAATGGAGAAGAGGAATTTGTTCTCTTGGAATGTTTTGGTTGGTGGGTATGCTAAAGCTGGCTTCTTTGATGAGGCACTGGATCTCTATCATAGAATGTTGTGGGTTGGATTGAGGCCTGATGTTTACACTTTTCCTTGTGTTTTGAGGACTTGTGGTGGCATGCCTAACTTGGTGAGGGGCAGAGAGATTCATGTTCATGTTTTAAGACATGGGTTTGAGTCGGATGTGGATGTGATTAATGCACTGATAACTATGTATGTGAAATGTGGGGATGTCAATACTGCAAGGTTGGTGTTCGATAAAATGCCTTATAGAGACAGGATTACATGGAATGCCATGATTTCTGGGTACTTTGAAAATGGGGAGTGTTTGGAGGGACTGAGGTTGTTTGGTAGGATGATTGAACATCCGGTTGATCCTGATTTGATGACCATGACCAGTGTGATTACTGCGTGTGAGCTTCTGGGTGATGAGAGATTGGGGAGGCAAATTCATGGTTATGTTCTGAGAATGAAGTTTGGGAGAGACCCTTCGGTTCATAATTCGTTAATTCAGATGTACTCGTCTGTTGGACTTATTGAGGAAGCTGAAATGGTTTTCTATCATACAGAATGTAGAGATGTGGTGTCATGGACCGCAATGATATCAGGTTATGAGAATAGTTTGATGCCTCAGAAAGCTCTTGAGACATATGAAATGATGGCAGCACAAGGTATCATGCCAGATGAAATCACAATAGCCAGTGCACTCTCTGCTTGTTCTTGTTTATGTCATTTAGACATGGGGATGAACCTTCATGAGGTGGCCAAGCAGAATGGGTTCGTCTCTGATGCGATAGTTGTGAACACACTCATTGACATGTATGCCAAGTGTAAATGCATTGACAAGGCTTTAGAAGTTTTCCACTCTGCTCGAGAGAAGAATATTATATCATGGACATCTATCATCCTTGGTCTTCGGATCAACAACCGGTGTTTTGAAGCCTTATTTTACTTCAGGGAGATGATTCTTAGACTGAATCCAAATTCTGTTTCTTTAATTTGTGTCCTATCTGCATGTGCTAGAATAGGAGCTTTGACATGTGGAAAGGAGATCCATGCCCATGCGTTGAGAACTGGAGTAAGTTTTGATGGTTTTATGCCGAATGCAATTTTAGACATGTATGTAAGGTGTGGAAGAATGGAATACGCTTGGAAACAATTTTCCTCAGTTGATCATGATGTTACCGCATGGAACATTTTGCTAACAGGATATGCTGAGCTTGGGAAAGGAGCACTTGCTACTGAGCTTTTTCAGAGAATGGTAGAGTCAAACGTTAGTCCTGATGAAGTTACATTTGTCTCCATATTATGTGCTTGCAGCAGATCAGGTATGGTGGCAGAAGGCTTGGAATATTTTAACAGCATGGAGTATAAGTACTCTATTACTCCTAATCTGAAACACTATGCATGTGTGGTTGATTTACTTGGTCGTTCTGGGAGTTTGGAGGAAGCTTATGAATTCATAGAGAAAATGCCGATGAAACCTGATCCTGCAGTTTGGGGAGCTTTATTAAATGCATGCAGGATTCACCATGATGTTGAGCTTGGGGAGCTTGCTGCAGAAAATATCTTTCAAGATGATACGACAAGTGTTGGATACTACATTCTTCTCTCTAATCTTTATGCTGACAACAATAAATGGGACAAGGTAGCAGAAGTAAGAAAAATGATGAGACAGAATGGGCTAATTGTAGATCCTGGATGCAGCTGGGTGGAAGTCAAGGGCATAGTGCATGCTTTCCTCAGTGGTGACAACTTTCACCCTCAAATAAAGGAAATAAATGCGATTTTAGAGCGATTTTACATGAAGATGAAGGAAGCTGGTGTAGAAGGGCCAGAAAGCAGTCATATGGACATAATGGAAGCTTCTAAGGCTGATATATTTTGTGGGCATAGTGAGAGACTGGCCATTGCCTTTGCACTTATTAACTCTGGCCCTGGGGTGCCTATTTGGGTGACAAAGAATCTGTACATGTGCCAAAGTTGCCACAGCGTCGTCAAATTTATCTCTACGGAGGTTCGGAGAGAGATTTCTGTAAGGGATGCTGAGCAATTTCACCATTTCAAGGGAGGCATCTGTTCTTGCATGGATGAAGGTTATAGGAGCTAGCTTGATTAGAAGGATAACTGTGTGATATGTAGCATTATATTGAAAAGTTAGAGTTGCAAAATGTTACAACCTCATATATAACATGCTATACAGAGTGTGGGGAAAAAGATGTAATGTCTGTTGAACATAGGTAGCTATATAATTTTCTATGTAAGTATATAATTATTTTTCAACATTTTAACCCCCTCCCAGAAAAACGGGGGAAAATCAGGATATGTCTGCTTCTGTGGTCTAAGATCTCATTGTAATTTGTAACCTACAATCTAACAAAGTGATACAAATTGAATTTTGATGGAGTTGAAATGTACTGGTAAATTCCGTGGTGCTAATGTTATGTAAGTTCTATATGGTGTCTATTTTCATTTTCAAAGACATGTTAGTAGGATAAAATATGTAGGAAATTAAGAGAAATAGATGTAAGATTTGAACATGATTTCTCACGTAACAGGGGATTCATTACCATCAATTACCAAAATGCTTTTATGACATTTAGTTGGCTAATGTTTTGTCAAAGCAATCTCTCTTCTATTCCGTCATTCTTCCCTTCATTGCATTTTTTGGTTCGTTTGGATTTGTTTTGCACTCTTAAAATTGTATTCACCCTGAGGCATGCAGACAAGCTTCATAACATCCTCGGACCATGGTTCCTTGTGATCCCGAGAATTTGGAGCTTCTTTTTGTTCTATGCCATTGCTAAATTGTGGGGGAGTGTGGTCATTCTGTGCTCTTTTTGGAGTTTGCTAATTAGGTAATTCTATTTTGTTAACCGATTTTATTAGATATTTTTTGGTTTGATTGCCTTTGTTGGATTTCTTATTATTCATTATCAAGCATGTTTTGTTGGAGTTTAAATATGAAGTGAGTCTCACATGGATTAAAGTTGGACATGTTGAATAAATGAGAAAAATTCACCTATCTAAGACTTTAAGGTTTTGGATTGAGATGTGGTATCAAACTCGTCTCTATGGTCTACTCACTACCCATTGGTGTGCTCTTTGATGTTAGAATTTCTCAACAATGGTATGTGATGGTTCAACCAAGTGACCCAAAAGTGGTATCAGAGTCGATAGTTTGACCAAACGACTAATAATTGACTTGAACGAGTATTAAGTAGTAGAACTGGTTGTGGATGTTAAGAGTGAATTGGCGTAAGGATTAAAGAGTGGGATCATCCTTGTATCGAAAGATCTTCCTAAAGATGTGAAGGACGTGTTATGTTGATATGTGCAATGACAGTACAAGTAGGTTACTATTGAATACTCGTGGATGAAAAAGACATCCGCCTGAGAGGAAGTATGACCATATGAAAGAGACTTATACTTGAGAGAGTGTTGGAGTTCAAGTGTAAACTGATGTGAGTTTCACATCTGTTAGAATTAGACATATTGAATAATATATAAATAAAAAAGACTTGCCAACCTAATGATTTAAGATTTTGGGTTATGTTGTAACTTCTAGTGTTAAACTTACTTTTTGTAGTTTACTCACTATTACTGTGTGGATACTTCTTAGTGTTTAAACTCTCTCGACCTAACATATTTTATATATTGCATGAACCTAGGTAGATGAAATTGAGATGTGATAATTTTTTGATAATCATGATTAGCTATTCGTTATTTTTTGGCATTTTCATTCCATTTAAACATTTTTATTTTTTTATTTGTATAAAATCAAAAAATAAAAAATAAAAACTCTAGCAATTGCATCTTTAAAAAAATTAGAATGTTAAAAGATTAAATATTTCAAGGATATAGTGAATATTTAAAAAGATTGTTTTTATAAGATTACATTTTTTAATGACAACCTTAGTGTTAGAGTACTTTAATATTCATAGTAAATTTTAATAAGATATAGATTCTTTAAAATTCTCTCTCTTACATTAATTTTTCATTTTTTAAAATATAAATTTTAATAATAATAAAGTAAATTATTTTTTATCACACAAATTAGAAAAGGACTTACATAATATTTAAAAATAATTTTGTTAGCTTATTTTAAATTAAATTTATTAACATGTTTAGTGTGACTAATTTAAAATAAATTTTTAAATAAATTAATAAGTCATACTTAGAAAAAAATGATCATATCTATAATAAAAAAACTTATGAATAATAATACGCTAGATTTAGGTTTTAATTTTGTTAAACAAGTTTGATCTATATATTATTTAAAAAAAAATTCAATCCTTATATTATTGAAATTTTGATTTGATTTATTTTCATCTTTACTTATATTTAATTAATTTGTTTTACTCAATTAAAAAAATGGATATTTTTATACTTTAAAATGAATCAAGTGCAGAGAGATTTGCGTGTGTTTTTTCAAATCTACGAAAAGCATACTGTTTTTTCACCTATTATTTTTTAATCTTTTTGGCGAGTCACCTTGAGCCAATTGCTGCAGCGATTCCATTTGTTTATATTATACAACAAATCGATTGAGTCACGGGAACATCTGGATCCAGCCAAATCATGACACCATCCTCCAATTATTATAATGTATCTCTTTTAATGGAAACCAAAAATGTATTCTTCATTCAGCACCCACAATGACTGCAACCAATATCTTATATCTGAGCCCAAAATAACAAAACAGTTAACCCGTAAATAAGAAGCAGCATCCATATCGAAAAGTGTCCAATAAGAAACACAAGCCGTACACGGAAACAATCTTAAATTATTCTAGATTCCATTTTACCCAAGAACGCAACGTAAGCACTGAGCACAATTAGATCCCAATAATATGAATTAGATCTCAAGATCTTCGTGCTGCTCATCATAATACACTTTCCTTGTTTTACAGTATAGCATCGGTGGGAGACGAGGAAATGTCAAGAAGCAGCAGTTTCCGGCGCAACGGGTGGATCCCCTCCTCCGTAAGACTCAAAACAACCCTCCTCTCGGAGCTCTCCGGCGCGGTGGGAGACTTAGGGACGTACATACCCATCGTGCTGGCTCTCTCCTTAGTCAACAACTTGGACCTCACCACCACACTCCTCTTCACTTCTTTCTACAACATCGCCACCGGCCTCCTCTTTGGCCTCCCCATGCCCGTCCAGCCCATGAAGTCCATCGCCGCCGTCGCCATCTCCGCCTCCCCGCCCCTCACCATCCCTCAAATCTCCGCCGCAGGCCTCTCCGTCGCCGCCGTCCTCCTCCTCCTCGGCGCCACCGGCCTCATGTCCCTCCTCTGCCGCTACCTCCCCCTCCCCGTCGTCCGCGGCGTTCAACTCTCCCAGGGCCTCTCTTTCGCCTTCTCCGCCGTCAACTACATCCGCTACGACCAAAACCTCGCCACCTCCAAATCCGGCCCTCCCCGCCCCTGGCTCGCCCTCGACGGCCTCGCCGTCGCACTCGCCGCCGTCGTCTTTCTGGTCCTCACCACCGGCGCCGGCGACCACCCCCCACCCCCACCACCACAAGAAAACCAAAACAACAACCCTGGCCGGAGGCTTAGGGTTTTGTCTAAGGTTCCGGCGGCGCTTATTGTGTTTTTGTTGGGTTTGGTGTTATGTTTCATTCGCGACCCTTCGATATTCGGAGATCTTAGGTTCGGGCCTTCGAAGATTTCGCTTGTTAAGATTAGTTGGGAGGATTTAAAAATTGGATTTGTGAGCGCCGCAATTCCACAGATTCCGTTATCCGTTTTGAATTCGGTTATTGCGGTTTGTAAGCTCTCCGGGGACTTGTTTCCGGAGCGCGAGGCTTCAGCGATGCATGTTTCGGTGAGTGTGGGACTTATGAACTTTGTGGGGTGTTGGTTCGGAGCCATGCCTTGTTGTCACGGGGCTGGTGGTTTGGCTGGACAATACAGGTTCGGGGGTAGGAGTGGTGCTTCGGTGGTGTTTCTTGGGGTTGCCAAGTTGGTTCTTGCTCTAGTGTTTGGAAACTCGCTTGGAAGAATCTTGGGTGAGTTTCCTATTGGGATTCTTGGAGTGCTTTTGTTGTTTGCGGGCATTGAGTTAGCTATGGCTGCTAGGGACATGAACACGAAGCAAGAGTCTTTTGTTATGCTTGTTTGTGCTGCTGTTTCCCTCACTGGCTCAAGTGCTGCCTTGGGATTCTTTGTTGGTATTGTGCTCTACTTGCTCCTCAAATTGAGGGAGGTTGAATGTGCTTTCGCCTTTTGCTCATCTAACAAGAACAAGTCTTCTCTTGAGGATGAGCAAGCTAGCTTAATTGCCTAGACAATAGTTTCATTCTCACTTTATATGGTCGGGTCCCTTAAATGATCACCGATGTTGTGATCATGCGGGAATCTTTGTGTATTTGTATTGGTGTAACGGTTCAGATATTGGTCATAGAGATCGTGCATTGGAATAAAGGACTTTTGCCAAACTACGATGCAATGGATTGTTGGGGTGCTGGGGGACATGCTTGAAGATACTTGGGACTTCCACGGTTCATAATTCAGTGTTTTTGGATTTTGGATGTACATGTGTCCAACTTGGGACTTTAAATGTCACTACATGTGTAATTTAAGGCTGCTCTGCTATGGACTCTCTAAAGCTCTATAGTTTTTAGATATTACTAAAAGTAGGCGTTATTGCTCATTACTTTTAGTTTAGATTCATTCTGTACGCGGATGGATGCAAACAAAATTTAAATATTAGTACATGTCTATATTTATATTTTGAGGAGCATATATCGCATAAATGCTACTGTAATAAAGTATTATTTAATTTTAAAATTATATGATTTTTTTATAACCTTTATATGTTTATTTGCAATTTTTTTAATAGAAATTATACGAGATAATTTCTATAAATTAAGTTATGCATTAACTAATTTTTGTTTATGAAAAAATATTTTTTTCTTATTTTTTTCCTACTAAACGTGTTTTTGAAATAAAAATTATCTAAGCATATTATAATTTATATAAAGAGATGGTTTTAATTAATAAAAAATTGTGTTCAAAAAATGTTTTAAAAAAATGAAATGACATTATTTAGCATATTTGCCCTATCAATCCTCGAAGAAGTTAATTGTTACATGATATTTCTAAAAATGATCAGGTCATCCACATGTATCAAAACTACAAAAAAGAAGTTTTGTTTCTTAAAAAAAAAAAAAGAGTAGTCAAAATTTGATTGTACTCAATGTAGTAAACAACTTTACAAATTCACTAATATTTCACTCATCAATATATTTTGCTAACAAGTCACCATTTTTTTTTCAAGTAGAAGTTCATATTAAATATGTTTGAGGGAAGTTTTGGAGGGAAAACATAACTTATTCCTTTTATATTATTAATAATACATAGATGTTTTTGAATAATATTATTTGGTTTGAAAATCTTTCACTACATGGGTTGTTATATTTTGAAAGAGGAATACATTACAAAATAATCTATCAATGTAATAAGGACATTTTTTCTTTAAGAATAATGTTAAACATGGCTCAACCCAAACTTCTCTAAACCTTCTTGTTTCATTTCAATCATTATTATTTAATTTTTATCATTTGTTAATATTAATCCTTATGTAATTTTAATAAAAAAATAATATATCTTTTATTTTCTATTTCCATGCTTCCAATAAAATCTGAACTAAAAACCTGTTAGACACACTAATTAATTATATGACAAATTATCTCACTAAAATGTATTACTGACAATTTTTTTATGTATACTTTATATGTTTATAAAATTTGTCTTAGGCCCCCCAAAAAGTTCTAAACACGACCCTGGCTAGATACACCCGGGTTTTCCAACGTGGCAGCAACCATGAGAAGCTTCCTCTTTTCATTTGAGCCCATCCTCCTTCCATAAACCCAAGCCCACCTCACTATTATCATTACCATGCTTTTAATGGTTCTTGGAACTAACTAGATTATGCTTTTAATTGTTCTTGGAACTAACAAGATTATCAGTAGCTGAAAATTCAAGCAAAGTATAAATTTTATGATCTGGCCTTCCTTTTCCATACTCATCCTTCATGTCCAAAACATGTCATAGACGGTTTTTTCTTGGGTCCATCGCACATGGAGATGTCTTCCTCTGAAACCTTACAATTTGAAGAAGAATATAAAGGAACATACATTTTCAAGATGTAATAGCCATTAAATTGGCCATTAACATGTGAAAATGTGGATGCAAGAATGAGTCATCTGACCCTTTTGTTACAACTTGTGTAGCAATGAATTAAATTTGCTTTGTTTATAAATATTAGAGACTGGTTTGCATGATTTTTAATTGTATGTCACTTATTTTTCATCAATTATTATTAATTATGTAATTATTTTAAATGCACGAATCAATTTGATTTATAGGAGGTAAAAGCAAACAAATATTTTAACGAACTAGGAATTAAAGAGTTTGTTAGAATATGAAGATGTGATGATTATTGATTTGTTGCGTTTTCTAAATCATCTTCTAAAAAGATGAAGGTTTGAGAAGTGGACATTTTATCCACCCCTCCAATTCCAAAAGCAAAGCAAACCTCCTTCCATTCACGACCAAAGGGACTATAAAAGGAAGAGTTAATTCATAGCTAACTTCTACCAATTTATATATACAGCTAACTTCCCTTATAAAAATATTAAATGATTTTTTAATTTAATGTTTCCCTTATGAAATATAAATTTATTGCATACATGCTCTTAAAATATAACATTATTGTTTACAAGTAAAAACATTAGTATAGAAAAATATAACAACACTAATGTTTTGCATATCATATAAATTGAGGTTAATATATATAGACACCAAACTAAGATACGAACATAGGATATGACAAGAGTATAATGTAACAAAAACTTGATATATTTTATTTATATTTAATGTTTGTTGCACACCAATATTAAATAAGATAATATTATTGTACTATATTGATCTGTATTTTTTTTTTTTTTTTACATATATTGATCTGTATTTGATATGAGGTAGATGATATAATGTAATACAAATTATGTTGAAATGATAAAGTTACCGTTACGTTAAATTACATATAATATTCTAAACAACATCTTTTAAATTATTTGTTAGATTTTACAAATTATGAACATTATAAAAAGCTACAATTCTAACTAAATTATACAAAATATTTTTAAATAGTTACTTATCTTAAAATCATATATATAATTTTATAGACAAATAAATATTATATTTGAATATATAAATTATATTTAAAATTTATATAAATAGATATTTTTAAATACATAAATTATATTTTGGATTTAAAATAAATAATTTATATTGTAATACAATGTTATTTGTAATTATTTTATAAATATTAAAATTTAATTTATAAATAAATATGATAAATAAAAATTAAATTAAACAAACAGTTGAAAAAATTTCTGAGAAAAATAAACCCGTAAAATTACTTTCTAATTGTTAGCATTTAATGTTTAAGAGTTAATTATTTTTTGTCATAATTTTATGTATTTTGTAAAAAATTTTAATAATTATTTACAAATTATAAATTATTTTCTCGTCCCATTAGAAATAAAATCTGGATCCATCACTAAATGCAATAAACATATACTATATAATAGAAATATATTATAATATTCAACATATTACGTCAACATATATCGAGAACCTATTATATTTTGCTGGTTTCTTACACAATTTTCTCCTTAAAATACAAAATACACCAGATGAACAGAATCAGAAAAGGTAGTTATTATATCCTATTGATGCAATAAAAAAAATAACAATTATCTTATTCAATAGCAAATTAATTATTAAATCAGTGTTAAAAAGTTAAGAATGAGAAAAATCTTTCCTATCTACTTCTATACTTTATTTTTCAAAGGTTAAATAATAAGAATTCAATTTAAATACAATGATAGTATATAAATCACTAATAATAATAAGAAGAAAAATAAAAATTTAAAAAGGAGAAGAACATTGCCTTTCAGATTAATTTTTAATTGTAAAACAGTGTGTGACTATATAAGTGAAGTTAAAAGAAAAATGAGGTTAAAGGATAAATACTCAGCACCAAACTAAGATATTAAAAATTAAAAAGGAAAGAATATAATGGTTAGATATTATTTATAATGAATAAAAAGAAGCAAACTAGTTTGGATCTGGAAGACCAAGCAGACCAGAGATAAACGACAGCTATGTCTAGTCTTCTACTCAACGCTTCCATCTTACGTTAAACACCATTCTCCATTTCTCTCACTTCAAACATCACTTGCAGTTCTGATCCAGGTTTGTCCCCTCACTTGTTCGGACCTTCACTTCTCACTTGCTATGTGTTTTTTTTCTTCTCTTTAGATCTTTCTTCAGAAACTCAATTCCTTATTGAAATTTCACAATACAAGCATTTGGGTCTCCTAGTTTACTTGATTTCTTAACAAAAGTTCTCAACTTTTGTCAACCCGAATCATGAAGTTTCCATTTTCAGCCATTATTTCCTTTTGGGTTGTTTGTGACATGTTGATCCTTGTTCTCGCAAATTCACGCTTCCCTGAGGGAATGTATAGTTTTGATCGAAATTCTCATGCAACCTATAAGTATGATCGCATGAGTGAAGTTCGGAAACAATGTGCTTCTGTGTTATCTGCTTCATCTGAATTGAGATATGAATATAGTGGGGTTATTGGTATGAAAGAAGAGCTTTCATTTGTGAATGGGGATTGGAGGCAGAATGGGGGTAAGTTTCCCATAATGCCATTTGATGCTGCCAAATCTCCTGGGACTTTGTCTGAAGACCACAGTCCCTTGAACTTGGTCTCTTTTTGGGTATCAGATGTTGATTATGACCACCGGTTGAAGAAGTCTATTCCCATCAATGGTTTCATGGTGATGGGCATTACTCGAGATGGTAATTTTGTGGACAAAACATTTGATGGGAATCCTGAGTTTCAGTTATGGCCTAGCCATTCTCAGCTCTCAATTCCCTTCCAAGGGGTTTATACTGAATCAAAGAAAAATGGTGGGGAAAGGGTGTTGTGTTTGTTAGGGAACACTATGCTTCCGACTCGAGAGGCCGACCCTGCCAAACCGTGGGAATGGATGAAGAATCCCGGTGAGATACCGTTGTCTGAAGATGATCAAATTATGCTAGTTCTTCGCTATCCAATGACATTCTCATTAACAAATAGGATGATCAATGGAGAGTTAAAAAGTTTGAACCGTGATTCCAATTCCAAATACTTTGATGTGGTTCGCATATCATCACAATTGGGAAAGTCGGCCAAGTATACATTTGGCTCACAACAGATTGTATCCAAAGCATGTAATCCATACCCATTTAAAGATAACCTGGTGGATGATGGCATTAGTGTCTACAAAGGGACAAGGTTTTGCGAAATCCTTGAAGAAATTACTAGAGAAAAACCTTTAACTGTTGTGCCGAACTGGAGATGCAATGGCACAGATGATTTCTGCAGTAAATTAGGTCCTTTTTTGACGGATAAGGAAATCAAATCAACAGATGGAGGCTTTCAAGATGTTAAACTTTATGTGCAGGATGTCATCTGTGAGCAAGCAGCTAGTAAGAGTAATACTGGTTCTGCTAGGGTATCAACGGTTTTTAGAGCAGTTTCACCATCAGAGAATCAGTATACTGCAGCAAAAAGATCTGGGCCTAGCAACACGTCTCTTGCCGCCGAAGGGATTTGGAAGTCTTCTAGCGGACAGCTTTGCATGGTTGGCTGCCTTGGATTTGTTGATGCCAAAGGGAGTAACTGTAATACCCGTATCTGTGTGTATATTCCTACCACTTTTTCCTTAAAGCAACATAGTATTATATTGGGAACTTTTTCTCCCATTAATAATAGTAGTGCCTTCTTTCCCCTATCATTTGAGCAACTAGTGCTACCTTCAGAACTCTGGAATTATTTCAGGCTCACTAATCCAAGTTACAGTTATTCTAAAACTAATTTGGCTGGTACTGTCCTAGAAAAAAATGAGCCCTTCAGTTTTTCAACTGTCATTAAGAAATCATTGCTAACATTTCCCAAACTTGAAGATAATGAGGCATTCCAAGATAGTTTGTCTCTTCTTTCAGAAGATCTCACGTTTCATGTCTCTGGCTTTGCTGACCATGCGCCTAATGTCCTGTCCCCTAGAGTTGACATTCAGATGGAGATTCTCTCCATTGGTCCCATGTTTGGACGCTATTGGTATGCTCAAAATGGTTCAACGTCTGAACAGGAAACACCATATCATGCCAAGGCTGCTGAATATACAGAAAGACAGCTTCTTGTAAATGTATCTGCACAACTCAGTCTTGCTGGAAAAGGTTATAGTAATTTTTCTGTGCTTTTTCTGGAGGGTCTTTATGATCCACATGTCGGAAAGATGTATCTAATTGGTTGCAGAGACGTGCGAGCCTCATGGAAAGTCTTATATCAGAGCTACGATCTTGAGGCTGGAATGGACTGTTTGATTGAGGTGGTAGTGGCTTATCCTCCTACAACAACTCGTTGGCTAGTCAATCCCAGAGCTACACTTTCGATAGAAAGCCAAAGGACTGAGGATGACGCCCTTCGGTTCAAATCAATAAAGCTCCAAACATTTCAAATTATATACAGGAAGCAACGCGAGGATGTCCTCTCACGCAAAGGTGTTGAAGGGATTCTCCGAATCTTGACACTTTCATTCGCGATTGGATGCATTTTAAGCCAACTGTTTTATATACAGCATAATGTGGATTCTCTTCCATATATCTCTCTTGTAGTGCTAGGTGTTCAAGCTCTTGGGTATAGCATTCCTCTGGTCACAGGTGCAGAAGCTCTTTTTAAGAAAATAGTTTCTGAATCTTATGATGTGCCATCTAATGAATTGGAGAGCAGTGAGTGGCTCCATGTCATTGATTACACTGTGAAACTGCTGTTGATTGTATCGTTGCTGGTAACTCTGCGGCTTTTTCAGAAGGTATGGAAGTCTCGCGTCAGATTGCAAACACGTACCCCTCTTGAGCCACATTGTGTCCCCAGTGATAAAAGGGTTCTTCTTTGTACCTTCATCATACATGTGGTAGGGTATGTAATTGTTCTAATAATTCACAGCACAAAGACCAGTCAGAAGGCTCTGGTTGATGGAGGAAAATCTCATTCATTGCCGGTTTGGGCCACAGAATTGGAAGAATATGTAGGTCTTGTTGAAGACTTTTTCTTGCTTCCTCAAATTATTGGGAACTTAATCTGGCATATTGATTGTAAGCCACTCAGAAAATTATATTTTATAGGAATCACCGTGGTCAGACTTCTTCCTCATATATATGATTACATTCGAGCTCCAGTTTCAAATCCTTACTTTTCTGAGGACTCTGAATTTGTCAATCCTAATTTGGATTTTTACTCAAAGTTTGGGGATATTGCCATTCCTGTGACTGCTATTATTCTTGCAATTGTGGTCTATATTCAACAAAGGTGGAGCTATGAAAAGCTGAGCCAGTTTCTGAAATTTGGGCAGTACAAGCTTCTCCCAACTTTCAGATACCAGAGGTTGTCCTCTAGGTCTTGTGAATCTGAACTAGTTCCTGGTATCAATGGTGGTGATGCTGCAAAAGAGAAAGAACAAGTTGATGTAGAATGATGTAATTGTAAACACTTTAGAATTACTGACAACAGCCTTTTTACACGCATATATGAAAAGTAGGCAAGAGTTTGGGTGGATTACTGTAATACTGAATAATTAATTGAATTGTGGTTTTACTCTTCAACTTCTCATTTTTTGTTCTCCAATTATTGTTGCTTCGTTATCCACTAAAAGTTCTAGCAACTTCTACCTTATAAGGAAAGTTAGGCTATGTTTGGGTATCAGTCAGAATAGTAATGCCTAATTCTAATGTGCAAAATGAAGAAATTATTGCTTTCGGAATAAAAAACACTTTGACTCTTCCAATTGAACATGCACTTAGGAAGTTTACTTGAAACAGAAAAATTGCATCAAGTATATACAAGCAGAATATCACAATCACATACCGATACAAATGTTAGGAATTGTCTTTGTTTGGATAAAAACTTTGTCACTTGCCAACATCCAAAGCTACTCCCATACAATATCTTATAAGACTAAATATTTGTCTAAAGAAATATTACAAATTTTTTTATTTTTGTCTATAAATTTATCATTTATTTTTAATTCTTATATTTTATAAATGAGACTAAAAACAAGTGTAGGGAGAGTTTCTTATTTTATTAATTTCATTTATTTATTTATTTATTATAAAAAACAACATGCAAAAACATCACAATAGCAAAAGTGATCCCAACTAGGTCGGTATCAAAGTAGCTACCAATCATCAGAAATGTATTGAAAATGGAAAGAACTGGTATCAAAACACACGGGGGACATAAACCAAACCTATGAAAAAGAAAACAAAACAATTAAACCTTGAATAGTAGCACCATGTGAGGCCAACGTGAGTATTACTATTACCTTCACGGTAAATGTCACTTACCAAAAATTTTATGAAAAGAAATGGATAAGAAATAGGGTGGAGAAAGTGAAAATAAGAAATGTTTAGTTGATAAGAAGTAGAATGAAGAGAAATTAAAAGGTAGCAGTCTCACTTTCTTATTTATTTTTATTTATTTATTTCTTTTTTATGTTATATATATATATATTATTTTTCATATATTTCTTATTTATTTTTTATCTATTTTTTTTTCAACCAAATAATTAAATTTTTACTTTATTTCTTAGTTATTTATTTTTTGCTTTTTATTTCTCTCTGTTATACTTCTTGTCTATTTCTTTTTTCTCTCCAAACACAAGTTTAGGGAGGAAACTAACCTGTCTGAGTGAAAAACAATAACTACTAACAAAGAATATAGGATACAATAAATAAATAAATATAATATGGTTAATAAGAACTTGATAAACTTATGCTAATGTTTTTGAGTTGTGGTACTGCTTAATCGTGTCTTGATTTATTATTTTTGTGTCTTGTATTTTGAACTGTATCTTCTTATGATCGAACATATTTCCATGTACAATAAACTTAAAATAGATTTCTAAGAGGGTTGTAACTTATAAATTATTGTAACTTTTAATACGTTTAATCAAATACCTTTAACTTTTAGTTTCAAGTGTTGATATGACAACATAAGTTTAAGGTCCTATATGTCTCGATTAGAAAAATGACTATCTTTAATAAAATTAAAATAATATCATAGTACGTAAAATATTATATTAAATATTTTTGTTTGATATAACTAAAAATATAACTCCCTTGATATTCAAGGTGAAAAATGGATTTTAATTTTTAATTAAAGAACATATATATCAAATAAGTACTAAATTACTTATGCTATCGAATAAATTAAAACTAATAATGAAAAGATGTTAGCCCTTTTTATTTTTCTATAATCTTGCTGGTTATTGTTATTATTATTTTTATATAATATCATGATCTAGTTAGTTATTGTTATTTTTTTTTACTATTATAGATATGTAGGTTTAATCTTACTCTTTTTATGCATGCAAAAACTTGAGTATCAACTACTCACTCTCTAATATGCACATAATATTTTTTATTAACTAAAATTTATAAGAAAATAATAAATTATGAATGAGAACCCGTTAAACATGAAGTTTATATAATTTTGTAATTCTTTTTAACTACTCTATAACTACTATATTTTTACCATTGAAGACAAAAAAAAAACTATAATTACAAGGTACGAGAGTTGGGTTTATGAGTTAGGATTGCAAAAATGAAGGTAAAAATGTGTGATTTAGGGAGGATAAGTAATGCGTGATAGTAATAGTTGACACACTCAAAGTTAACTAGATAAATATAGTGATTACGAAATTACAAATTCAATAAAAATTCACGCTTCTTGTTACAACCTAAACTTTGATAGAGCAAGAACTTCTTTTATTTATTTATTTTCCTCATTTGTTATTCCTTCGGGATGAGTATGTGCAACAACAACTTAAATCAAGACAATCAAAACAACAAATTTGAGTAAAACAACGTGGTATAAAAGGAGATCATGTAAAGTCAACAAATCTAATTAAAACATGGGTGTTTAAACTAAATTAAAAGAGAGGAATATGACGGTAAAAGGAAGACAACAAAGAAGGTATGATGAATAAATAGAAAAAACTGAAAAGATAGAAAAGGAAAAATACAGCTACATCATGCGAATGACATTTGTAAATATATATGGACCACCTCGTGAGGCATACTTATAGGATGTCCTACCAAATTTTCATGACTCTCGATGTCCTTTTAAATTGGATTCAAGGATCCAACGTCCTCCACATTCTTTTTTCAACTACATAAATATGTAATCCCTTAAATATTTGACTTCAATTTATGTGTGTTAACAATATAAAAGCATTTTTATACTTGTTGGTACCGGAAAATAGTTTTTCAAGGCGGCGTTCTCTTCCCTCAAGGCAGCCATCTCACAAGCGTCTTTCTCTCGTTGTTGCTTCATGGCGGCCATTTCCTCCTTCAGTTGTCATACCATCTCGACCATATATTTTGGGCAAGCTCAAGTGCATTCTTAAACTCTGTGAATGCTTTATCTGGCTGTTGATTCCTTAGAAAGTTCTTCCCATTTTTCAATTTAGCAATTAGCTCCTGCTTCTTTGGGTCAACAATAATTTCATTATCAGGTATCCTACCACTACCAATGGGAGCATAACTCAAGCTAGGGGCATACGACTCAATTTTTGCTTGCTTCCTTAAAGCTGTGTTGATTTGGATTAATTGCTCGTTTACCCGCTGTAATTCGTTTCTTCTTTGCCGAGCAAGCAACCCTGTCATACGATCAATGAATTCAGGAAAATGAAAGTATATCACTTATCTATAAGAGTACATAGGAAACACCTCTACTACACACTAGTAGAAGCACAAGTTATTAAAACTTGTGATATTCGAGGAGATTAGCTGCCTTTATTTTTTTTTCACTTTTATTTTCTCTGAAGTTTCTAGCAACTCATTTCTGTCACTCAGAAATAAATTATTTTCCCCTTAACTTCTTTCCTGTCTTTTCTTCTTTAAGGAGGATCCCTACTCCTTTGGTTTCTAACGCCTCCCCCTTCTTTCTTCTTTTTTTTGATTAAAAAATGTTTCTGCATATATGATCAGTGTTCCCTTTGTGATAAATAAAAAGTCCCGTGTTTTATAATATACGAAAAACCTTGAAGACAACAGGTACACACAATGAGCTTTCAAGAGGTATTCATGCTTCACATGGCTAAATCTCTTTACCTCTAAGTAAGTTTCTTGTAGCTTATGCTAAAAAAAACTGATGTATTTAAAGATTTCTAGTTTTGCAAAAACATCTTTCAGTAATATCAATATGCTAGTCCTTTATCATATTAACAATTAGGCAACGAATAAAAGAAGGAATATCTTGTAATATGTAACAACAACTATGCTATCATTTGCCTAAAAATATCTTGTGACAAAATGAAGTTCTATTATCCAAGCCCTTGGAAACTTAGTATGTACAAGGAATCTCGCACTTACTTACCTCCTACAGTGGCTCCAATGAGAGCTACTGCCAGCAGTACAGGCATATTGAAAACAGAGTTATCAGCTTCACACGTTTCAGCCAAAGCTGTATTAGGCATAGAGAACATCAAAATATTGCTAGCTAGAAATATCAGTGACGGGAACCTTTGGTGCATATCTTCCTGACAAGGCAAACAATTTCAATCAGAAATTCAAGAGAAAGATGTCAAAAGAGAATAGCAACTAAAACTTAAGAAAATGTAGAGTCAGAAGCATTATCCCAACATACAGAAGTGACAAAAAAAAAAGAAGAAAAATTTAGTGCACAAAACAGTATCCACTGTTGTGAATTTTTCCAAACAAGAGATCATAATTTTTCCACATTTAACAACACAATTATTTTAAAAACTTCCATATTTGACAATTAATATACACATTCACAGTAAAAACTAACAAGTACATAGACCAAAGCGCACAGCGGAAAGAATGCCGTGACTCACCATCATACCTTACACTTTGAGCAGTGCAGCAAACTTGAAATTTCAGAAGACCTATCAAACGTATCCTTAAAGAGTGGAACACCCTTGTCCGGTTTCAGAGAAAGACAAGCTAGTTTTCCTGATTCATTAGAAAAAATTAAATTTTGTCACAGATTTCACAGACACAAAAACACTGTTTTCAAAGCTCAAACATGATGAAAGTTAGGATTTTGACATGCATTTGAAGAGGGGTGAAAGAAAACTGACCTGGGAGTAGGGGTTTGGGGTTGTTGGCGTAGAATTGAGGTTGTGAGAAGCGAGGGCGTGCGAGGAAGCAAGAGCAGCGGATCAGAACCGCCATTGCTCAGTTTGTTTTGCTGAGCTGAAAGTGAAAGGATAAACGTTGGGATAACAATCCGTGTCTTGTGCGCTGAATTACACCTTACTAATACTATAATACTATGTGCGTCCAAGGTGGACTTTTTACCTTTTTCTAACCATTATTGAAATTGAAATTACACATAATAACATTAAAATGTTTTCATAAGCTTATCTTTTCAAATTTTACTCAAATAAATTCAAACTACTATATATATATATATGATGATTATTTGAGTTCTTATTCAAGGAAAATTCATTAATATAATGATCATTTGGTACTATACGTGAAGAACAAAAAATACATTAATATAATGATTATTTGAGTTCTTATTCAAGGAAAATTCTAATATAAAGTAGCAAAAAAATGTGGTACATGAATGAAACATTATTTTTTTTCATTAGATCCATCTCGACCATATTGGTCTCGTCAACCGTCTCGACATTGTCCGCTTCGGATCGGTGGTCTTCAGTGTGTGTTCTCCTTGTCTTTGCCATAATGTATCTCTTCAAAATAGTACTCAGTCCGTCTTCTTCAAAAGCTATCGGTTCGGCTCCACGGATTGTGTACGTTTCAGGGATATGGTCGAGAAAGCGATTACTAATGATCGCTTGGCTTTCGAGGAGAAGAAAATGAAAATTGATACTGATCCATTCGCTACACAAGCAGGATATGTGGAACCTCTCTCTATAGGGATCAATGTAATGTGCTTGAAATCGATATGGCTGACTTGGTTGCGAACGAAGAGGAAGTTGTCGAACTTATTACGGATGAAAAAACTGGAAGAGCTCTTAGATGAGTTCGCGAAAGAGCAGGAACCTATGTATCTGAAAGAGAGGGACAGTTTGCTCGATTTTCTTTCAAGGAAGAAAGATGATGATCGGGAAGTTATGCTTTATCCGAGATGTAGCGTTATGTTTGACAGATCAGCAGCTAAGGCTTTCGAGGAGTCTGAAATTATGAAATTATAAAGCTGAGAAGGCTCGAGGAAAATCGAAAGTCAACAAAACATACCTCAGGACGTTCAGGAGAAGTTGATTCACGAATTTCGATAACATCCCGAGAAAATGGAGCAGCTGGTACGAAAATGAGAAATTCAGAATTAAAAGATGTCAGGGGCATTTAATTCTCGCGAAGAGTACAACGCTCTAGGGTCTTATCAGAGAAAGAGAGTTGAGGCGTTGAAAAACATTCTTTCTCAGTTACTTCGAAACAAATGTTTTCCAGGGGGGCATTTGTTGGTACCGGAAAATGAATTCGGAGGCACTCGAAATACAGAGGTGCTTTAAATCCTAGGTGATCAGAAAATGGCAAAGAAGTTTCTGAGGAAGGACACGAAGACACTTTTCGTGAAACTCTCGAAATCATTGTACCAGGAAGGACACGAAGACACTTTTCGAGAAACTCTCGAAATCATTGTACCAGGAAGGACACGAAGACACTTTTCGAGAAACTCTCGAAATTATTGAACTAGGAAGGACGCTGCTCAAGAGAAAGGCTCACAGCCTCGCAACCTCTCAAAGTACAAGAAAAATCAGGAAACACTCGAGTAGTATATTTTTCGTTGGTTACTCGAAATCCCAAGAATCCGGACATACACGAACACACTTCGCAACCTCTCGGAATGAAGAACTTAAAGGAGACACGATTTAAGAGCGGTTGAAGTAAATCATGGGATAAGTGTCAAAGGCTGCAGAACGGTTTGGGGAAGTTAATGAGCAGTTCCAAGAGTTATCCAAAGACGTGCCCGGGAATAAGCCACGAGGTCGAGGTGGAAGTTTAGAACGGTTATGCACTTCCGGGGCACGTCAGAAACAGTTACCTTTCCCAAATCTTTTTCTATAAATTAAACGAGCCATGCTCGTAGCAGGAGGTCGAAAATCTAATTCCCACAATACCTCACATGCACTCCGCAGCCTGTGCATAAGGCATACTGTGCGTACGAGACAGCTTTGGGTACGATTTCTCGACCACCTTTCTTTTTCCTTTTTTAGGAGTAGCATAGCATAGCATAATCTAGTCTAGTGTAGTGTAGTCATTCTAAACACGTTTCGTTACCCTTACGAATTGTAATTCTGTTACCATTTAATGAAAACTCTATTTCTTACTTGTACGATTTTATTTTTTTCATTGAAAGTCTTTAATTCTGTCATGTCACGAACACACATAAATTGAAACGTGAAATCGTGCTAGTTCGAATAAAAAGGATTCATAAAACGAAATCCACCGTAAACAATTACTCAAGCAATTGGAAGTGATGTTAAAAATAATTTTAAAATAAGTATCACGTAGTATAAAAGTCAACAAAATTATTAAACACGAGAATTTTTTTACTAGTTGACAATCATTACTATTTTTTCTATTTTTTTTAGATTTCAAATGTTAAAAGAAAAGTTAGTTAAAAAAGTATTAACCGTTTATTCGGCACTGCACCTGATGCAGCTATTTATAAACTCTAGGATCCATGTATTCTTTTATATATCTTTCTATAATTAAATAAATCATAAATTGTTGGGATAAAATATTCTTTTTTATTCAATCCTTGTTGATGCACTTCATCGCATTTTTTTTACTCTCAATTATTTTTAAAAATATTTTTTACTTTTTATATTTTCATTGCAATTCTTAACAATTTATATTGTTGAATTTTTATGTACAAGAAGGACGTTTCCCAGTTACTTGTTAGAAATTAGTAGTAACATCTTTTAAGTCGTACAAATTAATAAAGTAAACTTATTACTCATAACAAACATTTTTTGTACATACAATAAGTATTTTTTTACAGGATACATATAATAAGTATTAAACATTATTTAACATGTTTTACTAGAATAAAATAATTGATTAAATTTTTTTTTAACTAGTAGGACCTGAAATTGAATCCAACTTCTCTTATATTTTATATTTTTCCATGCGAATTTATATTGCAGATGAGGTAAATAATCTAAAATTATATTTAAATATCTTTAAAAGATTGATGGTCGACTCAATTTCTCTTGGTTTTATATCATTTCATACAAATTTATATAGGGGTGAGATAGACGATCTATAATTCCATTAAATTTTTTTTAAAAGGTTGATGATTAAGTATAACTTTATGTTTTACTCTAATACAAATTTTTATGTAAAGAAAATCCTATTTAATATGATTAGAAAAACTAATTATTTAGGCAGTGTAGTGGACTTTATAAACATTAAAATAATATAGTAATTGATATAATAGAATCAATTGTTTTTCAAATGTTTAGTTTTATTTTAAAATTTAAATTAGAGCTATAGTGAAAATAATTAAATTGTTTATTTTTCATACAATGACACACGTCTTTTTTTCCAGATATTCTTTCTTAAATTATAAATTTAAATTTAATTATATATATATATATATATATATATATATATATAAATTAATCATGTATACAACTTGTACAATTCTAAACATTTTTTGTTTGAATATTTTTCTTCTGATTTATAACTCTAAATTTCATGTCAATTTAAAATACTTATGCGATGAATGATATACTTTGTAAATTTTCTAATAAGATTTAAATACATTTTAATTCTTATATATGTACCATTTACTTGCAATTATATATATAGAGAGAGAGAGAGGTTTGTTTTAAAACTCACCCTTAATGTTGTTGTTGACTTGTTGAAATAGCGCCATGAGTATGAAGTTACTGTAGAATGAAATTAAAAATGATGGTGACGTTTTAGAGGAAAAAAATATATATCACGGACCTTCAACTCGAACAAAAGTTATTATAATTAACAACAAACCATGCATCAGGACCAAATTGACAAAAAACATTAATTCATGTACAGACTAATTCGAAAACTGATTGTATCTATAAAGTTTAACTATGAGCGTTAAGTATAAATTACAGAGAATTCAATACTATGTTTAATGTACAAATTGAATAATTTACTATATTATTTTTTATTTAGTTTGACTTTTATTTCTCTAAAAGACTAAAACTAAACAACAGCAAAATCTACCAAATTTTCTACCTATTTCTTTCTTTCCTATTTCCATCTATAGGTTTGATTCATAAATTTCTCCACAAGCATTTTTAAGAAAATAGAAAGAAAAAATTTAAATAAATTCCTTCATAAGTTAAAACTAATTTATACATAAGTTAAAAATAATTTTTTAGAGAAACTAATATAAAAAAGCTTTTACAAAATAACTTACACAAAATAAATTTTAAATTATGGAAAGACTTATTTTATTTTTCTTATAGATACTTGAAAGGAAGTTTGTTCAAAGAAATCCTTTTTTTTTTCCTCATTGTCAAACAAAATCTTAGGCCTTGTGTACTTCTATTTTAATTTTTTTTTCACTTTTTAATTACAAAATTGTCTCTTTGTTTTCAATTTTTAGATTTTGTACATGAAATAGATAAGCAAACAAAAAAATATTTGAAAATAGAAAACAAATAAAAAACAAAACGATATTTTTGTAATTTAAAAGTAAAAACAGAGAATGGAAACATTTAAAGGGACTTTAATTCTTAGGTATTTTCAGTATTGTTTTGGTGCTTTGTAGTCCGAGTTAGACTTTTATCTAAAAAAATTATTGATATTTAATGTAAACATTTATTATAACAACACTAAGAAAGCATCGAATGACAGTTATCTAAATTTTGTCCTTATTACTTTAATAGTTGTCTTGAACCAATGTCAATTTGTTGAAAAGTTGCATCGGAAATTATAAAAAGTGTAATACTACACTCTCGAAAATTTCCCCAATTCTTTTTAATGAAAAATGACCGGGGTAATCAAAAGTATTTTTTTATTATTAAGAAGCGTATTTGTAATTTTTTAATTTTATTATTATTTTCAATAATTACTTTATACTTATTTATTCCTTAACCAATGTTTCAAGAAAATATTCAATAGTATAATCTATTTTGGATTCTTGAACCATTTTTTATGGGTTCCTCATGTTATGTTGAATTTCAAAACTTTTTCTATTTATTATTTGATGGAAGAATTTAACTCAAGTTTTTAATTATTTTGAGTTTTACAATTGATCTATTTTATTTTAATTTATTTAAATA